TACAGTTCCAAGGAAGGCGGGATGGGAGGGATAGGTAGTGGGGTGTTTATATTAGTAAATTTTCTTGCATAACTTTAACAATTTAAGCACAGAAACTACGGTACAAATGCGCTAAATGTTTGAATCCACCATACGAGATTAAATCTAACTGTATATAAATAATAATACTAATGAAACACATTTATTTGTTTTTAATTATCTTGTTTAATTTACTGTTAAGTACTGGTGAAAATTTCAAGGCGTTGCATTATCAAACTCTAATAATATTTTGCTACTCATATTAACAGTAAAATAATGATTAGGGTTGGTTAGGGTATCCCTAGCTTTAAAACTATCTGCAGCGACAGCATACTAATAAATCATAAAGGAAGACATGATTAAATATTTTATACTTTTGCTTAATGAACAACATAATTGAATAAAACACTTTTCCGCATCGAGTTTCGAAAAATGATAGGTCGTGAACTACATTGATTTAGAGGATCGGCCGAAACATTAGAGGCTCTATATGAGACCATTGAAGATTTAATAAATTTAATTAATGTTAATATTAACATATAAATGTTAATGTTAATTGATATTAACATATAAATAAACATTAATTGCTTAAAGTCAATGTTAATGTTAATGTTAATGTTAACATTATATAATGACAAGCATAAACTTTAATGAATTGTTTAAAGTCAATGTTAATGTTAATGTTAATGTTAATGTTAACGTTAATACTAATTTTATATACTGACAACCATAAACTTTAATGAATTGTTTAAAGTCAATGTTAATGTTAATGTTAATGTTAACGTTAATACTAACTTTATATACTGACAACCATAAACTTTAATAAATTGTTTATAGTCAATGTTAATGTTAATGTTAATGTTAATGTTAATTTTAATTCCTTCTATTATTTATTCAAATCCTTTATTTTCATACTCTTGGATATATTAGATCTTTAACATCTGGATAAATCATTGATTTAGAAAACCTCCACTTAATGGTAGGCGATTTTATCAATATAATGAAGAAGACTTTAGATTTTAATTTAATCTATTTAAAGCTTTTCAACAGGATGGACTATACACAAAAACATGGAAGTAAAGAGAAGCTGTCAATTAAAAAAGCTTCTCTTTATTTACTTGTAAACTTTTAATTCAAAAAAAGCTTGTTGTCAATTAAAACTTAAATAAAAAGTCGTCTTCATTAAATAACTGAGACCGCATACCACCGTACTTGCTCACTCCATGGTGAATTTATTTTTCAAGATCATATTTTGTCCCTCGCTAAATCTCGGGACAAAATAAAATCTAAAAAGGCCTGACTCTTTTAGATAAAGAGAAAATTTCTGTCCAAAAACTTTTAACACTGCGAACCAAAATAATAGTGTTATAAATAGTTATTATATATAAGTTTGTAAAGTTTGAAGAACCTATATTTAATGTGGACTATGGTGTATTATATATTAAGTTAGAATGTGTGTAAGAAGAGTGAAAAGCAGGCTGGATAAGAATTCTAGTGTCTAAAGAAGTGTAAAATCTCCTTTCTGCAGATTATTCAGTTGAAAAGCTGGTGCACTGCAGATTTTATATTTTCAACTTGTACAGTACACGGTTAACTCATTAGATACAAGATCAGCTGATTAGTAACTCATTTTCATGTACATGCATTACAAAATATTCTATCTTTCTTTATGCTAACTTTCTACTTCAGTAATATTTTAAGATTTATGCAATTTTTGCGTCAGACTAAAACTATACATCCAGTTTTAGGTTTAATAAATTTCTCTACCAGAGATTTACTTTTTACTATTTTCAGTACTCAACCAATGAATTTTTTATGTTAATTTCAGCTTACTTTAATTGTAATTAGAACTTTTTCTTATGTATATTGTAATGTGCATGTATGTATATATGTAGATACATATTAATCATATCTAAGATATAAACCCAAGATCTGATCTTATAATATATAATCTTTATACATTTTTTATAAAAAGAAAAAGTTTTCCAGCTTATTAATCATGAAGAATAAGAAAAGTTTATAAATAAATCTTGAACGGAAATAAAGAGGGATTATTAGGTTTCCAACCTTTAAGCAATTCATTGAAGTTTATGGTTGTCAGTTTCTAAAGTTAACATTAACATTAACATTAACATTAACATTAACATTTCTCCCTGCTCCTACACTACCACAACCCTCCTCCCTAATCCTAAACTATCACAACCCTTCTCACTACTACCACACCATCACAACCCTTCTTCCTACTACTACACTACCACAACCCACTTCCCTACTCCGACACTACCACAAATCTTCTCCCTACGCCTAAACTACCACAACCCCCTCCCTAATCCTTCACTATCACAACCCTTCTCCCTACTCCTATAACATCACAACCCTTCTCCTTACTCCTACACTACCACAACCCCCCTCGGTACTGCTACCCTACCACAACCATCCTCCATACTCCTACACTACCACAACCCTCTCCCTACTCCTGCACTACTCCAACCCTTGCCCCTACTCCTACGCAATCACAACCCTTCTACCAACTCCTACACTACTAAAACCTTTTTTCCTACTCTAACACTACCACAACCCTTCTCTCTACTCCTACAATAACACAACCATCCTTCCTACTCCTACACTGCCACAACTCTTCTCCCTAATACTGCACTACCACAACACTTCTCTCTACTTTTATACCACAACCCTTATTCTTAATCCTACACTACCACAACCTTTCTCTCTACTCCTATTACCACAACCCTTCTCCCTACTCCTACAGTCTACACTACTACAGCCCTTCTCCCTAATCCTAAATTTTCACAACCCTTCTCTTTACTCCTGCACTACCACAACCTTTCTCCCTACTCCTACATTTTTACAACCCTCCTCCATACTCCTACACTACCACAACCCTTAATCCTACTCCTACACTACTTTAACCCTTCTCCCTACTTCTACTCTACCACAATAAATATAAAACTAAGAACATGAGTGGTTATTGTACCAAAGTTCGAAACTTTCCTAAGTTTTTGAATAATTACATTTCTAATTAGTTTGAAAACGGTTTGCCTTGTGGTTGAGAACTACTGTGCAAGTGAATAAACAAACATATGAACATGGCAGGGTCTAAAAAAACTTTATCTCTGAGAATAAGGAGGAGGGAGGGAGGGGTGATTATGGGAAGACCAGAGCGGGGTGTAAGAAGAGTAGGTGGGGGGTTAGAAGAGTAGGGGGGGGATTTTGGTGTATATGCACTGATTAGATAAAGCTGAGTAAAGAGAATGCTAGGGGAATAAGAAATACTATGAAGGATACCCATCATCTATACTTGATGTTATAGTCATCATAGTTAGGCCCTCAGATCTTTAACTTGGAAAACCATAATTCTATATACAGGCCGGGAGTGTGCTGGAAAACTGAAAGAGATATCACTATCACGCGATTAATTGATTATCTATTTTCAAATTTTTCAATCCTAAAGAAGTTGTCCACAACACTGCATACTCAGTTTAACTGCCTTACATAGCCGGTCTGTCCATTTAAAATTAATTTAATAAGCGAAATTTCCAGTGACAGTCCCCGATTTACAACTGTACTCTTAAAACCTTTGTCTGATCAAGTATGATTTATATTTCCATAATTATGATTCTTTAAGCTGTTTGTTTTTATTTGATGCTTCTCTGCATGGTGGGTCACATGAAATTATTGCTTACAGTCCCTTTAAATGATAATTTTATGAAAAATCTTTTCTTTTAAGTCTAGATACAGTATTTAATGTTTAATGAAGAGAAAGATAAAAGACAGGATTTGAGATTATTTTCTTAATTTTGAAAAATAAGGAATAAAATCTTGTTCATCTCCTCAGATCTATAGTTCACAACATACAAAACTTATTATTTTAGAGAAGTTTAGTTTTTAGAGGTTTACAGTTAGACTTAAAGACCTTGTACTGCCACCATTTATTTAACTTTCTGTGTTAAAACTATTCAAAGTTTCTTTTTTGTTTAACAATTGGTTTGAGGGTATGGACTGTGAGAAAAGGGTGCAGAAATATGAGAATTAAAAAATACTAAAATAATGATGAAAAATTCAAATATAAAATCTAATTTATCATTATCACCTTAATCTGAAATACCCTTCACATGAAAAACGTATCCTTATGTCTTACACAGAGGGTTTTAAAAACTGAAAAATAAAATAAGTTTTTAAATAGATTTTTTGGAAACTCCAGCCTTTAGTGTGTTAGGCATATATATATATATATATATTCAGAGAAAAGTATATAATTGAAACTTATAAAAGAAGATTAGAGGAGAAAGACCCGAACGAGAATATAAAGACGGAGAAAAGTAAATTGTTAGAAATAGAATATTTATATTCTAAGGATATACTGCTACTGGAGCTGGGACCCAGAGAAGCAACAAAAACCAATCCTAACTCACGGAGGAACAAACTGTTTAATGAGTTTTTACAAAAAATGATGAAACAAGTTAATTTGATTACTCTATGGAGAAAGAAAGATGAGACTATAAAATCCTTTTAGAGGAACTTTTTAAAAAAATGTTTACTATTGGCCTCTGTACTGCTGAAGGATTTAATTTAAATCTGTTTATATGAAAATGTGTACTCTGTACTGTTGAAGGATTTAATTTAAATCTGTTTATATGAAAATGTGTACTCTGTGCTGTTGAAGGTTTTAATTTAAATCTGTTTATATGAAAATGTGTACTCTGTGCTGTTGAAGGATTTAATTTAAATCTGTTTATATGAAAATGTGTACTCTGTGCTGTTGAAGGATTTAATTTAAATCTGTTTATATGAAAATGTGTACTCTGTGC